AACGTGATACGTATCACGTTATAACGTGATAGCGCTCGGATTTTTTTTTTCCTGCGTGATAGCAATACGCTTCCGTAACCCCTGGTTGTAGATGTAAACACAATTATTTTCTGGAGAGTTAAAAACTGTCCAGTGGTTCTTAAGATATTTTGCTAACAGACAAACACAGACAATAATGTTATTTGCTTTGCCTTCGAGGCAGGATTGCTTGGAGTTTTTTGGTTGCAGCATAATTTTTGGGTGTTTGACACTTTTTCTGTTTGCAGACGCTTTCTATGAGAGGTTGAAGCCCATTGGAGTGAAAGAAAGGAAATATATCCTTGCTCTGAAGAAGAGGGAGTGTTTGATGAAGGGCTACCCGTACGATGGTCAGATCAATGCCTGGGACCTGCCGTACTACATGAACCAAGTGGAACAGTGCAGGTTTGCTGTCAACAAGGACAAACTGGTCGAGTATTTCCCTTTGGAGGTGGTGAGAGAGGGGCTGTTTGGGATCTACCAGGAGCTGCTGGGACTCACGTTCACAGAGGTGGAAGATGCCCAGGTGTGGCATGAGGATGTCAAGCTTTACTCAGCTCATGATACTGAAACAAGGGAGGAGATTGGACAGTTCTACCTCGACCTGCATCCAAGGTAAAGACTTTTTATTTTATTTTTTTAGGTGCAAAAAGTCACTGTTATTTATTTATTTACTTGCATCGTCTTCACAACATGTTGAATTACCTCAGATCAGTAATCCTCTTTGTGTTTACGTCACTTTTTTAAACTAAAAAGAAAGTTGCTGTGTGTCATGATAGATCTTCCCTCAGTAATTAATTGTTTATTTAACTAATGTCACCGTCCGCTTACTGCCTCCACGCGGAGTCTGTAAATTAGGAGTTACAGTTTTGCATGTCGACCATTTTGTCTCTGTTACCTCATGCTGCGGCACTCTGGCGCATCAGGGGTGGACTGGTTTCTACCCCCTCGCCACCTGAATCCATTCAAAAATCACACTGAGGCTGTCAGAAGAGGTCTACATCCCAGACTGAAGTGTCCTGTGAAAGAGCCCCGACCTGTTGCCATTCAACTGTAAGAAAAATACGTGTTCAATACGACTGAAGTCAAGATGAAAACACAATTGTTAAATAAAATGATGTGTGGACGGAATAAAATCATACAACACCAGAATTCTGAAAACCTGAGTGAGGTTCACCGGGCTGACAAGGAAAACCACACTGGCCAAAAGCCAGGAAGTACATCTTTTATACACGATTCTTCAATGCCTGAGTTCGCCCCCTACTGACCTACGGCTGAATCACAGGCATTCATCCAAAAATCTCAACCTAATGTTATCATAACAGTTCACGTATGTGTTGTTTATTATTCGGACATGTAACTACTCTATATTAACTAACACATAATAGATTAATAATAGATCAAACATTATAAAAAGGAAACCCTAATAATCTAGTGTTGTGCTCCTAACATCAGTACTAATCTGTAATAACTATAAATTTCTTCACAACCTAAATAGTTATTTCTTTAGCTGGTTTTTATTTGTGCCACTTACCCTTTGTTACCCCTGACCCAGCATTTTTGAGATGTGCTGCTCTTTATCTTTTGGCCGCCACAGTGAGGGTGCTTACCTGAACTATTTGGCAATTGTTTTAAACTGAATACATTTTTTTGACAATGACTGGGGCTCATCTTGGAACATGGAGCCCCCCACCCCTTTTTTTTCTTGTTTCTGCCATCAAATTGTAAAATACCTTATTTTCTGAAACAATGTTACAGTTTTTAGGTTCAACATTTGATATGTAAATTATAGTTAGAGATCGACCTGAAGAAATTTATAATTATTACAGATCAGTACTGACTTCAGAAACAACACCAGTGTATTAAGGGTTTCTTATTATAACATTGTTATAATGTTTGATCTATTATGTGTTAATTGAAATAGGGTAGATACATGTCCGAATTATTAACAACACATAATTAAATGCTGTATTAACATAAGTGTGAGTTCTTTTTGTCTGAATGCCTGTGATTCAGCCGTAGGCCAGCAGAGGGCGAACTCAGGCATTGAAGATTCCTGGACTGTATATAACCGGGGACTTCCCATATTTTCATCTGATAGTCAGCCAATATAAAAACACGTATTTCTTACAGTTCGATACAGGTTTATGAGGCCGATTTTTTTTTTGATATCAGTCGATACGCCGATACATAAAGCCGATTTTTTTTTGGCCGATTCTTGAAGCCGATACTGCTTTTTCTTTCTCCATTAACATGATAAAAATAAGAATGATAACAAATGTTACACAGGTCTCAATTTAAAACAAAACAAACAAACAAGAAAACATTTATTAACTGAGCCTTGCAGGCTGTATGAAGTGCTGCCACACAGGATTTCTTCTTTCAGCCCTTTCTCAAATAAATTAATAAATAAATAAATTCATGATTTATTTTATCTGGTGCTAAATATTCTGTTTTTATTTGTAAATTAATCAGATTAATATATTTTTACATAAAATAAAATGACTGTTTTAATATCCCAGCATTTTTGATGCAAAAACAACAACATGCCTAAAGAGGAACAGAGAAAAGGAGAGACACACATACATCTTGCTATCTTTGTGAGGACTTCACACACACGGCGAGAAAAGACCGGGAGCTTTTTATTTTAATCCAGCAGGGAGAATAATGCAGGTGTTCTTCTATGCCTCATGTGAGCAATTCCAGCATTTTTAAAAAAAAGAAAAACAACACGGACACGCTAATTACAGTGCGGTTTCAAAGTGAAACTAAAAACATGGCGCTCCCGCAAAAGTGAAACTTAAACTCAGCTGTTCTCTCTACCACTCATAGTCCGACACAGAGGGCAGAAACAGCTGAATTAGACAGTTAAAACACATTAAAAGTTCGTAACTCACCCTTATTGTTGTTAGCACTCAGTCTCACAAGATTAGCAGCTGCTCTCTCCCAGGGAGGGGGCGGCAACATGCGCTCGCATGACCCAAAGAATGGATCGGCCGACCGGACGGACGTATCGGCTGATACGTAAAACAAGGAAAAATGCAAATATCGACCAAAAATATCGGCCAGTCGATGTATCAATCGACCCCTAATTATAGTCCATTCAGAATGCAATTTAGGTTCATGAGATTAATGTCATTGTACTGTTTTTAATTTACATCTTACACGGCGTCCCAACTTTTTCAGAATAGGAGTTATTTATGTACCGAGAGATCAATGCATCCATACAAACACAAAAAAAAATAAACGTTTAGACTGTCACTGTGATTCAAGCTCTTTGTAATATTGTTTGTGTAATTATTCAGCCTGATGCTGACTTTTCTTCACCAGAGAAGGAAAATATGGCCACGCTGCTTGCTTTGGGCTCCTGCCTGGCTGCAAAGGGCCTGATGGAAAACGCAGACTTCCAGTAGCAGCCATGGTGGCTAACTTCACAAAGCCAAGGGAAGGCTGGCCCTCTCTGCTCCAGCACCACGAAGTGGAGACCTTCTTCCACGAGTTTGGTCATGTGATGCACGAACTCTGCTCCAAGGTGCGCCTCTGAATCATTGAGTTTTACTCTAGCTGTGTAAAACCTGTTTTGTGTATACATTTGGGCTGCTTTGTTTTTGTGAATCAGACAACTTTTTCCGAGTTCAGTGGAACTCTGGTGGAGACCGACTTTGTGGAAGTTCCTTCTCAGATGCTGGAGAACTGGGTCTGGGAAAAGGAGCCTCTTAGAAGAATGTCTCGTCACTACAAGGACGGGACGCCAATCCCAGAGAACTTACTCGACAAACTGATTGCCTCCAGAGTCGCTAACACTGGTCAGATATTCAGTTCTCACAAAAATACAAAACTGTATCATTTCTGCATATGTTCAGAGTGTCCGTGATGTGTTTCAACTCCTCTTCAGGTCTGATGAACCTGCGTCAGGTGGTGCTCAGTAAAGTGGACCAGTCACTTCACTCCAGTCCATGTGCAGATACAGCTGAAGTGTTTGCAAAGCTCTACCATGACATCCTGGGGGTTCCTGCCACAAGCGGTCAGTTAGAGAAATATCAATATCCCACTCTTGTGTACTTCTGTAGGGGTCACCTCGAGTGAAGAAACAAGATTTACTGCCTCGAAGCAGGCCTCGGACAGGCCTGACAAGAGGACAGGAACTCTGTCACAAACTGAACTCTATTTAGGCCATGACAGGTCATTCTAACCGTGGAAGAGAACCTGTCAGTTCTCTTAATCAGATAATGGACAGAACAATCTCTTCTGTTCGTGATTCATTTGTTGTTTAACTAAGAATGTTTATGAGCATTCTCATTGAAGGGTTCAAGTTTGCAGTGTGTCCGTATTCTTTAGAGTGGTCTTTTGCCCTTTGCACCCTTGATCCACACCTTGGCTAAGCCCGCATCCATACAGACGTCGATGAAGTGTATTACCCACAATTCACAGTTGCATGCGATTTTGAATTAAAAGACACAAATATGAATCCACCGAGCACCTTCCAGTCTAGTGGTGGTGGTAATGCACTTAAATTAGTCTGCCAACTTCTGCCTCCTTCGGTTCATGTGTGTTCTTCTAAAAACCATTGTTTGTTGTAGTTGTACTATCGTTTTTAGCAGTATGTCGCAGTTACGACGCAGAGGCGCAAGTCGATGACTCAACCCGTACTGTCCCAATTCTCTAATTCTTGCATGCTTGTACCCTGTGCACCTAAACCCCTATGTGCACTTCAATTGAGTACACACTTCATATAGGGGCGTAGGGTGTAGTACGAGTATTAAGACCGGGCCCAAGATGGGGATCACAGTCTGACAGAGTCCAGGAGCTGCATTTAAGCTCTGGAAAATTACGATGTCTTGTGAAAGTTTTGCTAAAAACTATTCATACCCCTTGAACTTACCCACATTTTATCATGTTACAGACATTTTTTACAATGATTTTATGTGATAGACCAACACAAAGTAGTGCATTGTGAAGATTTTTTCTTCTTTTTTTTTTACAAATATAAATCTTTTGGCTTTTGACTTGATTCCAGCTGCAAGGCTTTTGAGATTTATTTCTACCAGTGAAAAGTGAACCCCCAGTCTGAAAGTCTTGCAGACTCTAACAGGTCCGTCCTGTATTTCGATGATTTGTTGCGCTCGATTTTGGTTTGAGGTGTCAGAGTAAAGGAACAAAAGCACATCACACTGTTAAACGTTTTGCAAACCATGTATCCTTTTCCTTTAACTTCATTAACCTAACGTGTTTAAAAGGGGCAATATCATGTAAAATCAACTTTTTTGAGTTTTATATCATGTTATAGTATTATACTGTCATAAAAAAATATGTCCAAAGCCTTGCTCTGACTCATTCATGCATGTTTGAGAAATCCTGCAGCGTTTTTATGAAGCCATGCTGAGGAGCAAAACGACAGGTGGGGACCAGAAACACCTTTTGGTACCAGAAACGCCCCTGGGTTGTGTCCTTTTGGGACAATCTCCTCTGGGACGTGTCTTTAAGCCGAACTTCCTCATGGCAGAGCGCACCCTCCTACCCACACACCCCGCCCATGACT